TCTTTTTTTTTTTTTTGAATTCTTAGTTGGTGAAGTTAGAAATATTTAATAATTTGTAGTACACATAGTTGGATGAACTACATAACGTCTATTTTTATGAATTTGTCAACTAGTTGGTTGTAATAAATGGGGTCACAATAATATTATTTTTGTTGCATTAATGAATGCAAATAAATAAATATATTTTATTTTCATACACAAAAGTGGTCCATTTCAATCTTTATATACCTTTATCCTCTGCATTATAGGATTTTCAGTACACATATATATGTCTGCTTGATTGAAAATAATTACAATTTCTATAATTTAATTTTTATGAGTTTAAACTCGAAAATTCTGATTAATGATGTTGAAACACTTATCACCTTATCGCAATAATTTTCGATGATTTTAATATGAAGGTACATTTTGGATTAGACGTTTTCGTGATGCTTGGGAAAGTTGTACTCACAAGAAAGCAGTTGCATTTGCAATATTCACACTTATATGGAATTTATCTTCAATTTCTGCTAGAATTTGGGCAGGTAAATTTACTCATTTTTATTTATAGAGCTGCAATTTTAGGGTACTCTTGGCATCGAGGAAAATATTTTCTGAAATAATTTTTACACGAAAATAAGTTTCTTGAAAATTAGGAAAAAAACCTCTATGAGTGCATTTCAAGTTTATTTCAGCTCCTACATATATACCTGTCATCATATTTTTCTATATTACATATTTTTATATAAATGCATTTGAGGCAGTATTTTTTCTTATTTACTTATCAAACAACAAAAAATAAGAAAAATATTATTTATTTTGTTAGAAATTATTTTCCTTCCTACCGAACAATTTAGTGTTTTCTCCAATATGAATTCATACATTTTACTAAACGGAATCGGATTATAGTCAACACAAATTACTTCTTCTTCAAAAACAATTGTCCTTATATATTACATATAAATGATTTTGAGACAAAAACTTTTATTTATTTATAAAAATATCAGAAAATGAATAAAAAGTTACTTTTTTTTTTAAAAAAAAATATTTTTCTTGATATAAAAAAATCGGATTATAATCTCTTTTTTTTTTTTTTTTTTTTTTTTGCAGTTTTTATGTTGTATGTGGGATTTAGGTACTACCAACAAAAAATGATGAAAGAAGGATGGATAGGTGAAGAAGAAATTACAAAATCAGAGGATTATTGGCAAGAAAGACAAAGGAGAATTGGGAGAAAATCAACTTCAATGGAATCCAAAAAGCAAAAGAAAACAATTTAAAAAGGAAAAAAAAAGCGTTAATTAATATTTTAAAGATATAATTACAATCTTATTACTGTATATAGTTGTTTGTTTTAGTAAATAAAAAAAATTGTTGGAGTTTTGTAGCTTCTATTGCTTATATAATAGAATCTTTATTAATTCATTTTCAAGTGGTGTGTTATTATATTGATTATTTTTAGGTTTTGAGTACTCCATTGGGTAGAAATTTGTTAAAATATGGTTAAGAAATTAAAGTCATACTATTTTTTTTGGAATTTAATCGGGACTCGTACCTCAATATAATTATCGGATAAGTGAGAACGAAAAGATTTAAGTTAAATTAAGTACCTTTTGAGTTTTGTCCAAACAAAAGATTTACGTTTTGTGAAATAAACAAGGACAATTATGACTTTTTCACTACATCTACACATATAACAACATATAATATGAAAAGCCACGTATTCATCACATCGCTCTGGTTTTGGCCTCCATACTGCAATTTGAAGGTAAAGGTTTCTCATTCTTCGTCTCCCTCTTCAATTCAATAGATTCGAATTGTTAATTGTTTTATCTTCATCTATTTTCTCCTCCATTACGTTTTGATTTTGAAACAAAGATTTTGTTTTAGATTTAGTTCGACCAAGCCAAAATTAGAGCCAATAAAGAACCCTACATTTGTCTGAATAGATTTATAAAACTTTGCTTTTAGATTTAAGAAGAATTAAAATTAGGGTCAAAATAGTATGTGTTAGATCAGATCAGTTACAATACGGTGTTTAAAATAATTGTGAAATTCACCACGGTTGAATCTTCATCTTTGTTTTTCCATTTTTAATTTGAAATTTTAGGTTGTGAGTTTTTAACTGTAGATGTGTATTGTGATTGGAATCTCTTTATGTTTGTGCATTTTAATGGACATGAGTAGATTAATTTTGCTAACTGTTTCACAGAATGCTTTAGAGGACTAACTAGCAATTTACTGCTTGTTTTAGAGTATGTTTCACAGAGTGAGTGCACTTGAAGTTTGTCTGATAAACATAAAATAGGTTCACTGCAAAGGCTCCCAAAAGTACTTTAGTGTACAACTAAAATATCCGTGAGTCTCTTTAATCACAGATTGTGATTTTTATATCAGTACAGACCACAAGTAAATAGTTGCAATTGAAGAGTAAGAGTAAATAATGCAAGACATGCCCAACAACTAAGAATTTAACTCTTGTGTGGCTTTTTTGAAGTAAAACTTGGATAGCAGTAACTCTGCCATTTTTTCTTTTGTATTGTATGATTATTCCTCTAATTAGGATACCTTATAATTTTGAAGAATTCTAATCTGTAAGCTTACTTTTCTCTGATATGATCTTCATCAAGTTTTAGTGAACTTACTAGCATCCATGTTTTAGAGACTTTTGAGACGAACATCACACATAACTTAATTCATACTTCCATAGTAGCTTTTCCGGCTGTGGTCTCCATCCAGTAAAACTTACTCACCATCAAACGAAATATAACTGTGCCCACCCACACCCATATCGTGCCGACACAGGTGCGGCACAAAAATTGAAGAGTTTGAGCAACTTAGAATTTGTGTCTGCACCAAGTCTTTCAATTTCAAATGATTTCGTAATTCCTAGCCCTCACTAGCTAATATAGAAAGAGATTCTAGGCATTGTTTAATAGAAATTCATTTTTAATTTGTTGTGAGCGTAGCTCATAGAAAGGTTTTAGTTACTTATTATTTAGCTTTGTTGGAAAAATGGTGAATTTCTTGCTATAAGAAATTTACAGCAAGCTTCCTTAACTGTATATTAACTTAACGATATAAAGAATTATCTCAAATCTGGATTATTGTCATATGTTTATGTTAATTACTTCATACGCCATATTTGCACGCCATCTTCTCTTAATTATTAAATGATAGGTAATTTGTCTGTTTCTATTCTATTGTTTGAGTTGCTTACTGCCACATTAGTAAAATAATATGTTGAACAAAAAGATCTGTGACGCCCAATGCTTTAACAAGGTATGTCCCAATCAACGATATGCACATCCACGACATTACTATTCGTGGCTTTAATCTCCAGTGATATCAATGAGAGTATATATTTTTGTCGTCAAATTCCTCTGTGATCATCAACTCTCTTAGTCGGTATTTGTGTTCATCAATTACAGTGAGAAAAGGATAAAAAGAAGATGAGTGTGGCTTTTTTGTCCATCTTTGTGAAATTGCTAATTGTGATATGCATATAATGAAATAACCAGAAGTATTAAAATATATTACATTCTTGATCCTTCCTTAATCCATGATTTTCATGTCCATTTGTGACTCTTACTACATTTTTATCCAAGTTCATTTCCAGAAAGGACTGATTCAACAGTTAAGAGCACAAAAATTATAACCCACAAAATAAAAAACACAAACCAAATCAAATTGATGTGTAACATTCTCAGAATAATGTGTCCTCCAACTTCTCTATAGCTTCTCTAATCTTACTTTCAGTTCTCAAACTTGACTTTGAACAACTCCACACAAGAGACGTTGGTTCAATAATATAACAATTGTGCTTGATCAAATATTTCTTTGAAATGCCCTCTTTCAGGTTCATTCTGTGTTATTGTGATTATTATTCTTCAGTGTGTTCAACCTCCTTGACGTTGGTAAGTGTTTCTCTTCTGCTTGCTTTGATTATAATCGCTTAGCTTCTTGAATTTGCATGTCTCTTAATTGGTTATTTTTTTTGTGTAAAAATAATTCACAGCTCTTCAGCTTGCTTTGGTTGTGTTGCTTAGCTTCTTGTGTTTGTTCAGGTGTATCATTTGGGTAGAGTTTTGTAGCCTTTAGTGTGGTGCCCTATAATTCAATTAGTCATGGAACTAGGTTCTCCTTTGAAACAAAACTCACCTCCCATGTACTAAATATGCAAGAAAAGTATGAGTAAAAAGAAAAATATACCCCATAAAATTTGATCATAATTTGTTCACTAGCAGCACATTTTCCTAAAACACAAAAATCAAAAATCATTTAGCGGCATATGCAGCTATTAGCATGAACATATACAAAAGTTGAGTTATACTTGATAGCTTAGACTATAACTATACTGCCTATGAACATCTAAAGATGCTCATTCAAGAATATAAGAAAGAAAATCATGGCATTAAAGTTTCTAGAACCCATCATATTGGTTGTTTGAATTTGATGAACTATAATAAGCATTTTTCATCAATTTATATGTATATGTTATGTTTATCATCTTTATAACCTCTTCATGTGTTTTGTCAATCAGAACTGCCAATGGCATAGCAGTTGCGTTACTATTTTACCTTTCTCATTTTGATACTAACTTCACTGCGAATGTATATTTACATACCAACAATTCAAACAATATGCTTACCTAGGCAATATTTATGTAAATAATGTGTGTAAACTGCTCAAAGAGATGTCATCCTATCTATTAAATAAGTCTCCATCACTTCTAAATTTGCATTCCACTAAAATTGCACGCATGAAAATATTGGGCCTGTGCGCGCACGGGCAAACACCATCTAGTCTATTAAAATTGACTTTAAATCTAAATTTAAGTCCAAAAGAAAAAAAATATTGGGCCACATAGAGCTCAAAAGGTTGCCAAGAATTGAAAATTCAAGTCCAAAAGAAAAAAGTTGTATGTTATGCGGGGCGGATTAAAATTTTTTGGGTTATCAACCATCCAAACAAGGCGTTAGGTTTTTAAAATTGTGCTATTTCCCTTCAAATCCAGGAAACTTGCCAAGGTTTTCATGGCTGTCTAAGAGCTCTTCGCCATGGCTGTCTAAGGTTTTCCGTTCCTTTCTAAAAGTTCTATTTCGATACCAAAGTTAGGGTTTACAACATTCTGCACACCAAGATTTGGAAGCTTCTTCAACTGATTAGCTTCGACTTTGCCTCAGGTTAATGCGTTTTCTTTCTTTCTTTTTCCAAATGGATTTTGCTGAAATTTGATCGATTCTTCGAATAGGATGTTTCTAATAGCCTTACTGCATCAATAATACGAAGCCAATTTGTTGATTTGAGTTGTTGTTGTGTATAGTTCTTGTTCTTATGTTCCTTCCGATCTGTTTTCCTTAACTTCTCAATGTTTGCGGATATTACACATAATTGCAAATTTCTCCCAGTAGAGACTCTGTGTATCTATAATAATAAGGGGGATATTAGGTTTACTGCATCAATAAGACGAAGCCAATTTGTTGATTTATTAGGAACACAAACATAGGATGCTACTGAAAGGAATCAAATTACATGTTGAATCACCCTCATTAGTAAATAGGACAGGCCTGAATGTGGAACTAAGTAGTTGTTTGAGATAACTTGAGTCAATTTACCTGCAACTGAAGTCTGTGAACTGTGAAGTATAAAGTTCCTCTTTTCAACTTTCTGAAAATAGGACCCTATAAGATCACATATAAATACTTCATTATAGTTTAGCATAGTTGCTTCACTTGGATCATTACCAGCTATAGTTACAACAGGGCTGCCACAGTAATAAACCATGGCAGCTTGCAAAAAAGGGTCACGCTTCATCCTCAATAGACTCCGTTGGTTCTAGGTGTACTATTAACTGTGGCAGCAGTTTTAAAAACCTTCACTGGAAGGCCTAGCTCCATTTTCCTGCTTCACATTGTGTTCATCTAGAGTATAATTTGGAATCTTTGGAGACACCTGATTATGAAGCTTCTCTCCGCGGAAAACACTATGTAAGCCATAAAAATCATGTTTCCTTAAGCTGCTGAACTGATTGGAGTACTAACACTTTTACACACCAAGCTTAATTCACGTAGTTTAAGTTGCGTATGTGCTTTTCCTTTACACTTGTCACAAATGATTCGCAAGACCTGTACAGAGTGTTAGATAAATCACATAATTGATGATCCCTTTTGCTGCTTTTGAATATAGAATCAACTTCAAGGCACTCACCTCCCACCACAAGTTAAAGAAAGCTGTTGCATCACAACAGAGTCCATTTGATCTCTTACGCCTACTATATGGTAAGTTCTTCTAATTAATCTGGAAGTTACCACAATGTTTTCTGGAGTTTTACTAATTACATTAACACTTTTTAGCTTTACTAAAGAGTAACTGAACCTTTTAACTGACTAGAAGCTCATTCTAGTAAAAAATTATTGGTACCTTATGTTTGAGTGGCTTTTCAAAACACTGGGGGATTTAAAAGGTGCAAAAGAATCTATCTCAAAAGTCAAGATTATTGATCTGGTATCTTTGTGTTTCCTTTAGCATCTTATTGCAGCATATGCTTGGGGGAAATGGTATTAATTTGCAAAATTTGCTAAGTATTACTGAATGACACCTTTAGGTGCTCTCCCAGATTGTGTGATGAACACAGTTGATGTTATATCCCTATTGGTAGATTAGTCATATCCCCACAGCTTTTGTGTTTTAGCCTTCTTTTTGGTGTTGCTGATCAATACTTTTTATACACATATTGTCGCTGCTGATTTATCTACCATGTATAACAAATAATTTAAGTTTTTTTGTGTTGGGCCCAGGCAATGCCCGGGCTATCCCCACTAGTTTGTTAATAGTGAATTTGAAAATGGTGAATTTTAAATTTACACACGCCCCACACCCGCTTCAAAGTTACTGAACCCGAACCCACACAAAATTAAACCTGCCTCATTGCCATAGTAACAGCAGATCACACTCTTATTATCTGTCTGAAATCAAAACATATGGAGGTGCTGACATAACATTTACTAATTGTTTCACTATGAAATCTTTACACATATATATATGATTGGCCATTCATATCTATAGTAAAATTTTCAGATTGAGTTAGTTACTTAGTTATAGAATATTTGGTCAAATTAACTTGTTGGTTGTTGTTTTGAGTTTTTTGAACCAGTAGTAAAGCAGCTGTTAGTCTTATGATGTATTAGCATAATACTTATATAATTCATGGTTGACATGCCAGATGAGTCTGACGGCAGATTCTCCCGTCCACTCATCAAGCAGCGATGATTTTGCAGCATTTCTCGATGCAGAGTTGGACTCTGCTTCTGATGTATCACCTGAGCTAGATGAAGTAGAAAATGGAGAAGCAGAGGGAGAGGAAGAGGTGGAAGATGAAGGCAACGACACTGGTGATGGTGATGATGATGATGATGATGGCAGCATAGATTCTAGCAGGTATTATAAGATTCTCTATGAATGCTGGATTTGTTAGTTCATCTAAGCTAATAGTTTGAGTTAGACATGCAAAAGAGTGCAGATAGAAGAAAGGAATTATAGACGGGTTGTACTAATTGTCACCAACTATTGTTAGTTCTTCTGAATTTTGAAATCATTCTGTAGCCAAATTTACTACATACTTTTTAAAGTTTAACATTGCAATTTGAATGTTTCTGCTTACACTACCCGCTCCATTTCCTCATTGATCACTATATTGATATCATAGGTCAAAGAAGCGTAAAATTGAGTTGATTGAAGCTGCAGTTGATCCACAGAGTTCAGTGTCTCGTGGAGAACCAGCAGAAACTTCAGGTGAGGCTGTAGAACAGTTATTCAATCTTCTGTCAAGTTGTTAAGCATTTTATGTCCTTGTAAAAAGAAAAGTCTTAAAAGGCATTTTATCAAAACCGAGTGGAGTCATTTGATGTTTAGGTGTTGTTATAGAGATATTATAACACCATACAAAATGATTGTCTTCATCTTTTGATTATTTGGTTAAAATGTCTTACATGGCATAAAAAAATTAAAAATATTGGAAGGCGAGGAAAACTCTTAAGGAACAAATAATTTCGAATGCTAAATTCCTTATATGTCCATGGTTGGAGAGAGTGGTACTTTGAAGGAAATAAAAAGCCTCTATGCAACTTGAAATAGGACTATCTTCAACTTTTGAATTTTTTTTTTAAAATGTTTTATATAGCATGTATCATGATTAGTTTTGTCATCTTATCAAAAAAGGCAAAACATTATTGATATTGTTAGCTCCCACTAACAGGGAAGAATCCTTGCGACTTTTGTATATCTGTCAAAGCTCTCACTGCTTGTTGTGAATATTATTGACCTTACTTCTTAGAAATTATTCATTCGCCTAAAGTAACTATTATCTGACTATACTAAAACTGGGTCTTCTTGAGTCTCCTGCATAATATATCTTCTGACGTCACCTTATTAATGCCTTGGTTGCTGAAGTCTGAACAAGGAGAAGTAGCAGAAGGTAGGTTGGTCTTTAGTTCTTCTATAAAAGTTAAGTGATGCCTTTTTCATATAGATGACAGCTATGGCTTCCTCGACACTGAAAGGTTGATGCTTCTTGAGCTTTCATTCTTTTGGGTGGTGGGCCTTCACTAGGAAACGGTAGATCAGTTAGACATAGTAACTGGGAAAGAAATGTTCTCATGATGACAATAATAGGCTGCAGCTACTTGTATGTGCTTATAGGTTCTTTGACTCTTTCCTTTCCAGTCTCATCGATGCACTTCCTGCTCCCCTCCCTCTTTTGCATCTTTTAAGTACTTGTCTGGTTATGTATGATAAATCTGACATGTCCCCATGTGCAGGAGCATCTTTGGCGCTGGATGTATGCACTCATCCTGGTGTCATGGGAGGGATGTGTATACGGTGTGGGCAGAAGGTGGAAGATGAATCTGGTGTGGCTTTTGGATACATACACAAGGTTATTCTCCATGATTCAGTATTCACTAAAATACACTTATATATACATATATTCTTTTCTGGTTGGTCGGGTTGGTGGGGGAATGTTGCGAGCTATGTCTCGGATGCTTTCAAAATGCCGCCAATGCCTGTCGGACCCTCCAAAAGCAGTGCATTTTGGGAGGATCAGACACGGGTGGCAACATTTTTGGAGATGCTGAGCAACATAGGTTGAGAGGAAACGGAAGGAACTATATGACGTGCTGGGAACAGCTATTGCTATTAAACTTTGTACATCTATTCACTGGATTCTATCAATAATTTGGCAGAATTTGAGGCTTGCAGATGATGAAGTTGCTCGATTGCGTGACAAGGACCTGAAAAATTTACTACGACACAAAAAGCTGATCTTGGTTCTAGATTTAGACCACACACTTCTGAACTCAACTAGACTTGCAGATATTTCTGCAGAAGAATCATACTTGAAGGACCAACGAGAAGTACTGCCTGGTATGCTACTCTTACTGGTTATATGCTGTTAGCTTCATAATTTGGTGCTTATATCTTGCTCCTGAAAGTGGTGAAAATCTGTTTTACTTGCACATGGAAGCTAGAGAAGCCAGAATAAGGAAATGCTACCCAACAAGTTATATGTACTGCCCAGGGCTCTTTGCCGTGGCTTGAAATCTGTTGGAGATATTGGTAGGTGGAGAGCAATTGCATGTGGTGAGGTGAAGTACTAGGATCTCTTCGATGTACGAATGGGATATTGTGCTATATGTTACGCGATAAGTTAATGAATTGGATAGGGAAAGAACCTATAAAAAATATACGAGGAAACGTAAACTAGATAGTTAAGAATAGTAAATGAAGAATAAGACTGTCTCATTGGAGTTAGTTTAAACTTTAGCTGTCCCTCTAATCAGTACTGCACTGATTTATGTCACCTACTCAATCTGCTACTAGCCTCATATTCCCTTTTATTTGATCTCCAGGGTTTGAAGGTATCCGAGTCTGATAGCAAGTATGCGTCACTGTTACTACATTGTTCTTTGATTCATTCGAATAATGCCTGAGCAGATGTGATTAAAAAAAAAAAAGACCGATGAAGAAATGAGGTCATGTGGTTGATATCTATGGTTGGAGATCTATTTGGTTTAGGGGAAGGGTCTACTGTGTAAGGGAGGATGTTTACATGGCTGGCGTTGGCTATGGGTGTAAGTCTGTTTGTCGAAGGAAGTTGAAAGTGGCAACATCTAGACCTTAATTTTCTTTTGCCTTTGTTCTTTTTCTTTTTTTTGAGTCAAAGTTAAAGAAAATAAAAAGTGGACCTTACTTTCCACTTGCCAAGTTTTAATAGGTCTTAATTGTAATTTTCTTTTATATTTTTGTGTGTTTTGAGATTTTCATGGGTGAATAATACTTTCTCCACCACATTGTCAGTTAAGGGGTATTATTTTCTCTTTGAACCAAAATTATGGGGGTAAGAGGTTGCCCGTATAGTTGAGGTGTATCAATGGATTTTTTTGAACAAGATTAGGAGGCAACTTGTATTTTCCCAAAAAGGACTTGGCAGGTAGTAGGTACCCCGTGGAATTAGTTGAGGTGTGCGCAAGCTGACCGAACGCCATGGTTATAAAAAAAAAAGGTTTCCCAAAAAGGATCTCTGGCATTCTTCTCTGGTGGAGAAAACTCAGCTCTAATATGTGAGACTATTTATGCAATTTCCAGAAAAAATTGAAGTTCTAATTGCAGTTGCTCATTGATGATTCTTCCATGAGCAAGGTACTTGTGAACAGTGGATAAACATATTTTAGTAATTAGTGGTCAACAAAATACTTATTGTTATCTTGGAGTGCAGCATTCTGATGAATCAGAACTTGGCTTGGCTACTAAATTGATGTAGTACCTTAATGGGGAGAAGGGTGAAAATGCTGGAGAATGAAAAAACGAGAAAGAGAGGATTAAGAGAGAAAAGAGATAGATCAAGACAGAAATAGAGAGAAGAATAAGAGGAAGTAGACGGTCATATATGTTGGTTGGTGCCGTATGTGTAAAAACAGGTGAAGGTGTAGGTGACCTTCTCCTTTATTATGGGGTTACTTCGAGGTTATGGTGGGAATTCTTGAGATTGTTTGGGATCTGTTAAGTTGATGCCACACAATGTGAAAAGGTTAATGTTCAACTAGTGTTGCAGGAGGAGGAGACTGGAGAGGGCGCAAGAATTAGGTGTTGCCCCACTTGCACTTATGTTGGTCTTTGGAGAGAGATAAAGATGTGAGAATGAGAGGGGGATAGAGAAGTGGAAAGCCGGAAAAGAGGGAGGGATATTAATGCCTAATCAACTCACAATCATTACTCATGCCCATCAAACAGTAAATCAGTACATTAGTCATATTTATAGAAGATCGGACTAAATATAACATAAGGTAATCTCATTTTCAAAAAAATAAATATAACATAGGTTTATCTTTATCGGCCTTTTTTCTAAAAAAAAAGAAAAGGGTCATCTTTATTGCTCCTTAAACTAAAAATATAAATTACAATAGATAAAGATAAAGTATGCAGCATCCTTACGGTCTGGATGATGTGGCTGGGGCCTTACTCTTAGGCTCAGTTTCTTAGACTTTTCTTCTTTAATTAAACTCAATCTGTTTGACATATCTAAATCTCTCCTCTAGTTTATTGTTTTAATACATTGACCTTGTATCTTTGAAGAAAAATGCTGTCCAACAAGTTATATGTACTGCCTAGGGCTCTTTGCCATGGCTTGAAAACTGTTGGAGATTTTGGTAGGTGGAGAGCAATTGGCAGTGGTGAAGTGAAGTACTAGGATCTCTTTGATGTATGAATGGGATATTGTGGTATATGTTACGTGACGACTAAGTTAATGAATTAGATAGGGAAGGAACCCATAGAAAATATACGAGGTAACATAAACTAGATGGTTAGGAATAGTAAATAAAGAATAAGACTGTGTCATTGGAGTTAGTTTAGTTGTCCCTCTAATCAGTACTGCACTGATTCTTGTCACCTACTCGATCAGCTACTAGCCTCTTATTCCCTTAATTTGATCTCCAAGGTTTGAAGGGGATCCAAGTCTGATAGCAAGTATGCGTCACTGTTACTACATTATTCTTTGATTCATTCGAGTAATGCCTGAGCAGATGTGATTAATTAAAGTCCACTTTAGTGGGTTACTGTTAGAAAGATTAATATGTTTTTAATGGGTGCTTCAGCGCTCTTTGTTTACCCCCCTAAAAGATGACCATGAAGAAATAAGGTCATGTCGTTGATATCTATGGTTGAAGAGCTATTTGGTTCAGGGGAAGGGTCTACTGTGTAGGGGAGGATGTTTACATGGCTGCCGTTGGCTATGGGTTTAAGTCTGTTTGTCGAAGGAAGTGGCAACATCTGAACCTTAATTTTCTTTTGCCTTTGTTTTTTTTTTTTTTTTTTGAGTCAAAGTTAGCTGCTCGGTGTTCTATGTATAGTAGTATATGTTTCTATTGAGTTAGTGTTTACTCGTCTTGTAATGATGTGGAATTGTGGATGCCTGGACTAGGTAAAGAATGTTTAGTAGGCACTCTTCGTTAGAAAGTATAATGCCTATATCATGCAGCGATTGTAAGATATGTGCCCTTTAGTTGAACTTCTGACATCTGGGCAATCTAAATTATACTGTTTGATAAGCTGGCCTTTTAACTCTAGAGCTTTGTAAGCTCTTCACTTTAATAATTCTTTGTGGTCATCTTTGTCGTTGAATGCATTCAAGTTATTTTTCTAATATAAATGTTAATTTATTTAGACCTCATAGATGGTTAGGATTTCTTTTGCTTTAAATTCTTGTTGTTTGTCTGTGCTAGTTATTTTGCAGGTCTCTGTTGTGCAGTGTTTTATGATTTTTTCCCAACTTACTATCTACAGATGCTTTAAGAAACAACCTTTTCAAATTGGACTGGATACACATGATGACAAAGCTGAGGCCATTTGTCCACACCTTCCTGAAAGAAGCCAGTAGTTTGTTCGAGATGTACATTTACACAATGGGCGAACGTCCTTATGCGTTGGAAATGGCAAGCTTACTTGACCCTGGAGGTATCTACTTCCATTCTAGAGTGATTGCTCAATCAGACTCCACTCGGAGACATCAAAAGGGTCTAGATGTCGTTTTGGGCCAAGAAAGTGCTGTTCTGATCCTTGATGATACTGAAGTGGTAAGTATGTGAACATTTCTTTAGGACTATATGATCTCTCCAACGAGAATGAGAGAATTTATTTAGTGGCAAAGAGAATGCTAATCCCACCCAAGGCTTATTATTAATACAAAGGGAGGGAAAGTTAGTCTAATTAAATTTAAGTTCCTACCACCATAATTCCATGACAGCTTTTCATTTTCCATGTATTGCTATTCTGACAGTTCAGATTTGTTTTGGAGTTTAACTCATCTTCTGCATGGAATTTTTCTGAGCCTTATTGTTATTTAAGGAACTTTCTTAGTGTTTGTGCCATGCACTCATGTTCGTAGTTAGATAGATGAGATGAGTTGTTTTGGTGGAACTGAACCTTTCTATGTACTGTTTTAGGTATGGGGGAAGCACAGGGAAAATCTTATACTGATGGACAGATATCATTTCTTTACCTCAAGTTGTCGACAATTCGGTTTGAAATGTAAATCACTTACTGAACAGAAAAGTGATGAAAATGAAGCTGAGGGAGCGCTTGCCTCTGTCCTAGGAGTACTGCAAAGGATCCACAGACTATTCTTCGACCCGGTATGTAGGCTATTCTTCCCAAATTAATTTCATAGTCTCTATTTGAGTTGTCTCAATATTGTATACAATTTAATTCAAAGGACACCCACATAATTCAGTAGTTTCTCAATATTTTAAGAAAGGATACTGCATTTGACTGTGACTTTTATGCTAGAAAAAGTTCATATTTACACAAGTTAATTGCATCTACACTTTTGGACCCACTTCTAGATACAATATAACTTCACTATTGCGTGTGTTAGCGGAGGTGGTTATACTTGCTAATTTTGTTATATTTAATTGTATTTGTCTTACAATGTTAGGGTTCCCTAATTCTCCTTAATGCTGCTTCTTTCAGGAACGTGGGGACAATATTATGGAGCGGGATGTTAGGCAGGTAAAATTCTCAACAAACAGTTTAATTTATTGATTTTTACTCCTTCCCTAACCCCTCTTTAAAGATTCTTCTCTTAATTTGCCAACTCGAATTAAGATAAACTAGTACCCCACTTTTCACATTTCAAAACACTCTTCCGAATCATTTTTTGCCAAATTTTGTCTAATATCTGTCACTTGTAGTATTCGCAGAGTTGATTAAATGAAATTTAGAAGAGTTGCGATAAAACAGAGTATTCTGTCTGTGAAAGTGACTCTGACCTAATATATTTGCTCACTTATGAAGCAGCACCCACTCCCTTGAAAAGGGTGATCAACTTTTGGCCATGAGTAAAATATTTTTTATTTTGTATTTTCTTGAATTACTTGATTCGGAAACAACCTCTCTACCCTCACAAGGTAGGGGTAAGGCTGCGTACACAACACCTTCCAGAGATGCCACTTGTGGGATTACATTAGGTATGTTGCTGTTGTTGATGATCGATAACTTAATGCATAGCGTAATGATGCCTGGAAACCATAATTATGCTGGTCCCGTTGTTTAGAATGTCAATAATTTTGAGGTTATAGAAAATATATCTTCAAGTGCAATGATCACTTCTCATTGATATACCTGTAATTGAATAGATTTTGATCCTTGTCAAAGAGTCTGCAGCTTTGCTTTATACTAGAGAGTTTAATTGATTAAGAATATATATATATATATATATATATATATATATTTCGGTCATTATTACAGGTGCTGAAAACTGTTCGGAAGGAAGTACTGAAGGGCTGTAAAATCGTCTTCACTGGTGTAATTCCCATACAATGCCAACCAGAAAACCACCACTACTGGAAATTGGCTGAGAAATTAGGAGCTACATTCTCCACAGAAGTCGATGAATCGGTGACACATGTGGTCTCCATGAATGACAAGACTGAAAAGTCACGTCAGGCACTGCGAGAGAAGAAATTTTTGGTCCATCCAAGATGGATTGAAGCTGCTAACTACTTGTGGCGAAAGCCACCTGAAGAGAACTTCCCAGTTAGTTCATAACTATTTGCTAACCTTGATTTTAGGCAACTTTTTTGTAAATTCTAGTAGAATGCTTACAGGTTTCATTCACCAATAGAAACCATCCGATGAGGAAAAATAGTTCGCGCCCGAGGGAATCAAAACCAAACTCTGGCTAGTCTTCTTCACTGATCTCTTGAATTTTGTCTGGAGATCAACCAAATTCATGTGATTGTGTGGCATTCTGGATGCTGATTTTGCTAGTTATATTGCAGTGCTAAAAGTGACTTAACAGATCATTAGGAATTGCGCGATTTGCACTTGTGATTGGTTCTAGCCATCCCCACCTTAATGAGTTGGACTATGAAGGGGTTAGCCTTCCCCCCTCATAGCCTATTAATTATTTCGAGAAAGCAGCCATTCACGTCAGAAATGGAGGTTGTTAAGGATTAACTTACTTACTCGTGACAACCTTTCAGCCTCCCAACGACCTATAACACTAGTATCTTTTATGTATGTATATCTTACATTGAATTGTCAGTATCGAGACCAGTTCGGAATGCTGATTGAGTGTAGTAGCTTCGTATCTATCTCTCCAAAGAGGAGAGAAAAGATACAACTCAAAGTAGAATATCTCCTTGACATGATGAAAGTCAGCCTGATATCAACTACGATAAAAAAAAAAAAAACCCAATTGTTTTACATGAAGATTGGATAGACGTAAGATAATCTCAAGTATGAGTTGTCAAAAAAAATAATAGGAAAAAGACATTCTAGTTAGGTTTAAGTTCTAATCCCACAAGATTAGTAAGTTGATATGACCCATTTAAATATAGTGGATAACATCGAGGCTTGAAAATTGATATGTATTTGATGTACAGGAGCTAACAACTGTCTGTATGCTTATATTGGTGAATGGTGACGCTATTATTGTTATGATTAAAAAGGTAGTACCAAATTATAATACACCATATTTTCAACATATCATTGCGTGAAAAAATATTTTTATATATCGATCTAAAGTTAAAAATAATATTCTAAATTATTAGTAACAAAATGTAGAAGAATGTGACGTACACCACCTAATTAATTATGTCAAGATTCTGAAAAGAAAAAAAAACATTTGTCTCATGTTTGGATACACTAAATCTGAATTTAAAAATAAATATACAAATAATTAGAAGTCACACTCATATTGGAGAAGTAAAATTCTACTAGAACACGCTTTTATTTTTAAAGTTTCTCAAAATTATTGAGACTAAGAATGTATGTTTAAACTTTACTCTAGGAGTGGCAAACGGGTAGATTAGATATGAACGGGTAAAAAATATTTAAACAAAAATGAATAAGATATTGATCGACACATATTTAACACTGATAAAAAAAAGTTAATCGATGAATAATATGAATATGTATTATATTATACATGGCTTTATAAACAGTCAGATAAAAACTCAATCTAAAAATCAAAATAAATCTAGACTCTCTGAATTATTTTTTAAAAAAAATGGGTTGGATTGAATGGTTAACTATCTACCAACCCTAATTTAATCAAACATTTGATTACAAAAAGTTAAAAAGATATTAAAAAGATGTGCTTAATTAGAACTTAATTATTGAAGCAGGATATAAATATATAATTGTGAAGACAAGGATCACATTATTGAAGATAGATTTTATATATATAATTGACCAAACATGATTAATAAGTATTAGCCTTTGCATTATTGTTAACTAAATGTTGTTCACATAGACACCTGTACAATTATTTATCTTAAAAAAAATGATCTGTGTTAATATAACATAAGTCATTTCTTTTGTTTAATAAACTCATGAGTTTTCGTATATATAGGTGATTTTTCAAATATTGATCAAGTGTCTTGAAAATATATATATATATATAAAATGTAAGTTAATCAAACAAGAAAATATCAATTGCTGGAGCTATGATTTACATTAATAGGTCGAAGCTCAAAAACATGAAAAAAGTAACTATACGAAGAAGTCAATGAGATTCAGCATATACGCACATAAAAGGTAATTAAATCTTACATATACAATGTAATATTTCACCAAAAAGGATTCAGGTAAACTAACTCCGTTATTCTTACCTGACTCCGCTCCTGATAATAGTGTTTTAATCTCCACACGTGGATTTGCCTCTAACTTGCGTGTTAAATTCACTAATGAGGCTTCATAAGTAATTAGTGTCAAGACTTCAACCAATTTCCCTCCTTAAAAAATTATACTACATACTAGAATAAATATTTATAAATTGCTAAACTCTTTATAACAAAACAATTGTCGATCTAACATAAATATTTAAGTTATATGAACGTACAAATAACAATTAATAAGACCAAATGATTAAGGCTTTTGTGGTGGAACAATAACTATTCCTAATTAAATCATTGATATGGTCATGTTATATCAAATTCCTTTCATTTTATGGGGAAAAATTGTTGATCTTGAAGATGAGGTGCAATGTAAATCGCGAAATAAAATTTGAATAATGTTTATTTATTTTTTATTAAATAAGAAAAGAATCTTTTGTTGTATCGTTAAATTGTCATTTTTCTTTGTTTCACAAAAGAGAAAAGCACCTAACAACACCTAAACTATTATACATTCGGTGACAATTTAGGTAGGAATTCACACACCTTACAATTCAGATATGAAACTAAAAATAAAAATAAAAATAAAAATTGAGATATTTTAAATATGTTTTTAACTCTTCACTCTATCTTCAAATCACATCTTCAAATTTCATTGAGGTTTACATCATTAATGTCATATCAAATTACCTATTTTTTCTAGACAAGATATGTTGTCTATTGAATTGTTAATTAGTGTCCTCGTCGTTTTTTAATAATTTTTTTTATTCCTTCCATAAAGAATGAATTATTTGTCGCCTCTACAAAACAAACATTAACACGTTAATCCTCATACTTAAGAGAATCTATATATATATAAATAAGAGAACCTTAAGCCCGCCTACGTGGCACCACCAGAATCCAGGATTCCCTTTTAAGTTATTTATTTTCAAAATTAGTCTTCCCCTTTCATTAAAAGTTGTGACTTTTATGAAAAGTTGCGACTTGATATAAAAGAGAATGTTAGGCCCGCCTACGTGGCGCCATCAGAATCCAGAATTCCCTTTTAATTTATTTATTTTCAAAACTAGCCTTCCCTTTTCATTAAAAGTTGCGACTTTTTTTGAAGAGTTGTGACTTTTTTGAAGAGTTGCGACTTTTATGAAAAGTTGTGACTTTTATGAAAGGTTGTGACCTTTACGAAAGAGTTGTGACCTTTCTGGTAAGACACAATAAATATTTGTTCAAACTACTCTTGGTTGTTTATAAATAGAGGGATTTCCTCTCATTTTAAAACAACGAAAATTCTGAACTACTTATTCTTCTTCTTTTGCACAATTAAATATTCGTGTACTTTGCTCCTGTTGAGTGACTCACTTCACCATTGTTTTTTGTATCAATACACTGGTGAATAGAATCGTCCTATCCTGAAAGGATCTATTAGTTTAAACCTCGGGTACTAGAGGGGAATAATTTTCTTAAGGGTACACTACGCATTTAGTGGGCTTGATTTTTTCCTTTCTGTTTCATTTTATTGTTACATATCCTGTTTTTTTTTTTTTTTACAATCATTAATTTATGCTTATTTTATTAATTGTTGTTTTTGAGTATATCTTTTAAACTTTGTTGTTTATGTTTCTTCAAAATTATTGTTATAAGTATTTGTTTGTACAAATTAAATAACACACGTTAATTCAGTATCATGCAAGTTTTCTCTACTAAAATTGTTGAAAGTAGAGTAAAAGAATCCTTAAAGATCTGTACTACCATATCTTGAAGATAAAATTCAAATTTGGTATGTCATGTAAACACATAAAGATCTTAAAAACTTTATCGCACCTTGATATGCGAAGTGAACCAGGAAAAGAAGACAAAAATTAACAAACTTTGGACATAAATTCAAGAATGTGCTGGATGACCTATAGAGGAATATGACTAGACTGCAACATCTTTTAATCCCAAAGAAATAGATAACTATACAATAAATTAATTGCTCATATTCAATATGAAGTATGAACAAATTTCTCAAGTTTACTGCAAGTTGTAAAAACTTTTTTTGAAGTAAAAGATGTGTTTTCGACACTGTGATTGGAATAGAAGTGTAGTTTCAAATTGAACTTCATCACTCTGGTATGTTGATTTTAAAAACAACCAAACAAACTGAATAGTTGTGTAATATTTTTCCCTTTCAAGTACATATAATAAGTTGAGTTGTTGTCCAATATGATACATTTTACCTAGGCTTAAGTCATCAACAACCCCTTAAAGTTGTCCGCATAATTCACTTAGACTCCTTAATTAGGACTTGTACATATTGAACACCTAAATTGTTCAAAACATGTACCTATTAAACACAAAACGTTGATATGGCAAAAAATGTGTTTTGCACTTCCCTGAAGCGTGTGAAAAGATTCAAAATAGTGTTTTTTGAACTCTGTTTTTACATTTTATCTTCTTTTATTGACACTTGGCACTATAATTAACTTAAAAACATTTTTTTTCTTTCATTTACACTTTTTTCAAAAAAGAAGAGCTCCACCCCCTCTACTCATCTTCTTCAAAATTTAGTTTGCAAAACTTTCTCCATTTTAGCTTCAACGTTGTTTGTCTTTTTTTTTATATAAAAAAAATATATTATTTCTTCCAAATTTTAAGATAAATGAAAATCAACTATGACGAAATCATATGATTCATCTTTGAAAGAAAGACTTTCTTTTGTATGATTTATTTCAAATCTCATAAAAATAATGGAACAAATATGAAGAAGAAGAAAGATGATAAATGATTTTTACATATAAAAAAAGTTAGCTGATATTTTTTTATCACAATTTTCAAACAAATATTTTTACTCAAATTCAAATATAAATCCATTAAATTTATCAAAAATGATATTCGAAAGTTTGAGAGAATTAATTTTTGAGCTATCAATTTCTTTTGATCATCGATGTAGAAATGAATAACCACCAGCAAAATTTTCTTTCTTCTTCACTCTTAGTATGAAAATATATAATTTTTTAAAAAAAGTTAATCTTCAAGTTATTTGAAAAGAAATTAGGTTTTGTGATTTGAGAAAGAATATATTTTGGGAAGAAGATGAAGATGAAGATGAAAAGGGGTTGGGTAGGGGTGGAGTTCTGTAGAATAGGTTGACATTTTCATTTCTTTTTCTTTTCT